GGGGGGGGAGGGGGGAGCCTGGCGGGGAGGGGGCGGGTTCGGGGGCCGCGCGGAACGGGAGCCGCCGCAGCCGCCGCCGCAACTTTACCTGGGTCCGCCCGCACTGACAACTCCCCCGGCCCCGCCCCCGGCACGTGACCGTGCGGGGAGGGGCCGCGCGCGCTGCGCTGGCGCCGCGCGGGGACACGTGACCGCGGCTCCCCCTGTCCTCCTCCTCGGTCACGTGCCGCGGGCCGCAGGGCGGGTTCGCGGCCGCCATGTTGTGCGGCCCCGGGCCAGGCCGGGCATGGCGGGGGCCGGCAGCAACTGGCTCTCGGGGGTCAACGTGGTGCTGGTCATGGCCTACGGCAGCCTGGTGAGGGCCGGCGGGGCGGGCCGGGGCCGACGCGGGCTGGCGTGCCCGTGCGGGGCGTTCCGGGCGTGTCCGCGGAGCCGGGCCGCTCGTGTCTGTGCGGCCCCGGTGAGGCCGCTGCCGGCGTGTCCACGAGACTCCTGTGGAGTCCGTAACGCGCCCGTCAGGCAGGTCTCGGGCTGTTCGTGGGGAACGCCTCGGAGCCTGGCTCGGGGCCCTCAGGGGCCTGGGCTGGACCGCCCGTAAGCTCCTGGCGTCGGTAGGGCGGGGGGAGTACGTGGGTGGGAGCCTCTGTGGAGGCTGGGGGTCTGTGGGGCCGAGCCGGGTGTCCGCGAGGCTCCCGGGAGACTGAAACCAGACCCTTGTGCCCGCTGGGGTTGGAGGGCTGAGAAGGGGGAGTCGGTGGGCTGGGTTATCTGTGACACCCCCCGGCTCATGCTTGACCCCCCGCCCCACTGTGGCTCCTTAGGTGTTCGTGCTGCTGTTCATCTTCGTGAAGCGCCAGATCATGCGCTTTGCCATGAAATCCCGCCGCGGCCCCCACGTGCCTGTGGGACAGCACGCACCCAAGGTGGGTGCACTCCATCCCCTGCACTCTGAGGGACGGGCAGGGGCTGCTCCAGCGGCAGAGCTGCCACCGTGGAGTAGCAGTGGGGCAGCAGGGGGGGAGCGGTTTGTGTAAGGCCTGTTTTCATCCTTGTGATCCCACAATCTAAGTGAACGTGTCGGGTTTTTTTCCTGCTGTGTAGGATTTAAAGGAGGAGATCGACATTCGACTATCAAGGGTGCAGGACATCAAGTACGAACCACGGCTGCTGGCTGAGGACGATGGCCGACTCCTGCAGTTGGAGACACCAGGTACTGTCCCACAGTTGTTGTTCCCCTGGGGCCAAGTTGCATCTTTGGCTGCTCACGTTGGTGTCCTGTCACACGAGATGGTGTCTCTGCTCCCGTTTTCCCTTTCTCCGCCTCCCTCCAAGGTTTGCAGAGCTCTCAGTTTGTTCTTTCCCGTTTCCTAGGCTGCTATAACTACCTGTACAGGATGAAGGCACTGGATGCAATCAGGACATCAGGTAAGGGAGCTCGGAGCAGGAGGGTGCAGAGAGACCCTGAGTGAGGGAGATGAGGGTGCCAACAGCCCTGTGGGGAGGCTCCAGGTCCTCGCTGGAGTGTAGCAGTCGTTTCACCTGCCCAGGGCCGGTGGCCTGAGGGTCAGCCTGCCCTGTGCTCTGGGGTCATCCGGCAAACAGGGGCAGTAGGTGTGGAGGGAAGTTTATCCAGCCAGCAGCTCCTGACTGTGGGGGTGAGCACAAGCATTTCTACCTGTGCTTCAGCCAGTTGTGTTGTGCCTTTTTACAGAAATCCCATTTCAAGCAGAGGGCCGGTACCCAAAGTCTTTAATAGGGAAGAACTTCTGTGCCTACCTGCTGGAACTACGGAATTCCAGCACCTCCTTCAAAGGCATCCGCAAAGCCTTGATCGACACCTTGCTGGATGGGTACGAGAGTGCCCGCTATGGCACCGGGGTGAGTGCTGGTGTGGCATTGCCGGCCCTGTGAGGTGTTCCTGTGCTCCGCCCTGGCTGCATCCCTTGTTCCTGTGGCCTGGCTTCATCCTTCTCTTCCTGTGCTCCAGCCTGGCTGCATCCCCACAGCAGCATGGGGCTGTTCCTGTGCTCCAACCTGGCTGCATCCCCACAGCAGCATGGGGCTGTTCCTGTGCTCCAGCCTGGCTGCCAGGGCTGAGGTCACACTGTAACCTCAGCTGGGTTTTCCGTGATCTTCTCTGTTTGTATCCAGGTCTTTGGGAAAGCAGAATATCTGAAGTACCAGGAAGCTCTGAACGAGCTGGCGAACATGTAAGTGCTGCTGCCCAGGCACAGTGGTGGGTTCCTGGTCCATAGCAGCCCATGGGGGAGGTGTGAACAGAGACAGGTTTTGGGGCACATCCAGTGTCCAAGACGGGGGCTGTTTGTGCCCGTCCGTGCCTCTGAGTTCACTCCCTCCTTGCAGCCTGCCTGTTAATGGAGTTTTGGGTTTGTTCCATGGTCACAGTCCACATTCCTGCTTGTCCCTGGCACTTTGAGCCAGGGCTTTGTGCATGACCACTGGCCTTAGATTTCAAGACCTCAGTGAGCGCCGTCACCCCGAGGGCAGAGTTGCCTCGTGTCAGACAGACGGACACGCAGCTGAGCGGCTTCTCTGGGGCGGCGGCAGCGGTGACGGTGCCTCTTCTCTGCCCACAGCACCAAGGCCCGGGGGGGCAGCAGCCAGCGGCAGCACCAGTCAGCAGCAAAGGACCTCACCCTGTCCCCTGAAGTTTCCAACCCCACCACCATCCAGGTCACCTACCTGCCTTCCAGCCAGAAGAGCAAACGTGCCAAACACTTCCTGGAGCTGAAGAGCTTCAAGGACAACTACAACACGCTGGAGAGCACCCTGTGAGCACGTGGGGCCTGGTGCAGTGGGTGTGCAGGCAGCACTGGGAGGAAGCAGCTGCGCTCAGATCTGCCCTTCGCACCACATCTCCGTTCCAACTGCTGGAACTCAGCCCTCGCCAGAAGCCCATTCCAGAGCAGTGTACCTGCCTGCTGAGCCTGAGGGGATTGGCTCCACAGCCTCCTCTGCCACTGGCACTCCAGGCTTTGAGTCCTGCACCATCTTGGACCCTGTGAATAAACTGATTAGCTTGATCTTATTTATAAAGACACGGATCCCAGCCAGCGCTCCCCTTTGCCTGTCCTTCGCCGCAGCGGCTGGCAGGAACTGATGTCTGTCCGTTCTGTCTGTGTGGGTCTTGGGCTCTGGAGCCACCTGTCTGTCCTTTCTCAAGGGTGAACACTTTTCCCCATGTCCCCATTGTTCCTGCTGTCAGCCCTGTGTGCCCAGCCTGCCTGTGTGCCCAGCCGGGGTGTAAATAGTTTGGTGCCTGTTCTCAGCACCGCAGCCAAGCTGCTGCTTCAGGCTGCAGTTTCTGCTCATTCTACTGCAGCTGGGCATTTGGGGACATCTTGAGAGGACAAACCAGCGTCAGGTGTCCCATCTGTCCTGCCAAGGGGGTGTTTGCTCCCACTCACCAGCACCTCGCGTGCCAGCAGCTGCCGAGCCCCCAGGGCAGCCCCCACCTTGAGTCTGCGTCTGCCAGGCCGAGGGCAGTGCCAGCAGCTCACCCGTCACCACGGCACGGGCAGCACAGGGTGGAGGGCACAGACCTCGCATAGGCGTTGGCACTTTTTAATTACTGTTTAATAAAATGACAGTTTAGCCTGAGCAGATTGCATGCCACCAGCCTCTGACTGCAGAGGCCCGTTGCTGCTGGATCCGGGGCTGTGTCCCTCCGAGGTGCTTCTACAAAGGTAACCAGGATGCTGTTTGTGGTGGCCAGGTTGCTGCCATTACAGCTGTGGTAGTTGGGATGCCATTACAGTAACCGGCATGCAGTTATGGTAACCAGGATGACACCATTCCAGTAACTGGAATGCTGTAACAGGCTGCCGTTACTGCCAGGGTATCCAATGGGTGTGGCCCGTGTAGAGGGCAGTTGCAGGGTCCCTGTGGCACCAGCTATGGCAGTGCCAAACAGCCAGAGCTGCTCCCTGCAGGGGGAGAAGGTTGGACAGGGCAGGGGCTGGGAAGGTGGAAGCTGTCCTTGGGCTGCTGGGAGCAGGTGGAGACAGTGGGGTGCTGTGTCCCTTGGTGCAGGTTAAACCCTAGGCCCCATAAACGTGCTCTTTGGTTGCAGGTCCAGGAGAAGGGGAGTGCTGGCACAGGGCTGCGGGAGAGGTAGAGCTGGCAAAGAGCCCTAGGGGCCAAACCCCCCATGCTGGGGGTCCATGGGTGATGGGGGAGACATCCCCGGGCTGCCCACTCTCTGTCTCCACAGCTGTGGGCAGGGGCCCAGGGAGCACCCACGGTGCTGGGCCTCAGCCCACGGGGTGCTGCAGTGGATCATGGAGTCGCGGCTGAAGCGGCACGTGGAGTTGGAGCTGCATCTTGCGGGCAGGGAGCAGGCAGCGGTGAGGCCTGGTGTTGGTTGAATGCAGCTGGGTCTTCCTAGCGCTGTGCTGCTGTGGATGGTTGGGATGGCCCCCTCGTCCTGCTCCACCACGTTCTCAGGGACAGTGTCCCCCAGCACTGGTGAGCCAGGGTGACGTGGAGGTTCAGCACAGCCCCTGTGCCCAGCAGATCCGCCAAGATGCCCTGTACCAACTCTTCCAGGATGAGCATCAGCAGCACCAGCAGGAGCTGAGCCGGCTGGGGAAAGCCCTCTACGTGGAGCGGCTCTGAGTACTCAGCCCAGCGCAGCACTGGCCTGGCATCCCCTGGCTTCTGGCTGGGAATAAAACATGTTGAGCAAAACGGGGGTTGTGTCTGCTGCATGTGGGGCGTGGGACAGCCTGAGGCAGTGGGGGGGGAAGATGCAGCTCATCACGATTCCTGTGGCTCGGGTTCAGACATGTTGCCCGCAACCCTCCACGTGTTGCGCCCTGCACACTTGGTCCTGTCCATGGCTGTGCCAGGAGATGGCAGCACGGCCAGCATGCCTTGCCAGCCCCGGTGCTCTGCGCTTGGTCCCACTCCTAGCACAGGTCCTGCCGTGCCATGTCGTGTGCCAGGGTGCTCCTGGCCATGTGGCACAGCCCTGCAGCAGCAGGGAGAGGAGCCTGGCTGGGCTGGGTGTGATGCTCCCTGTCCCCACATTCAGGTGCCCCTGGACCCCTGTCTGCTCCCCAGCTGGGGGGGACCTGTCCCTGGCCTGCTGTCCCTGCTGCCTGTGCCCGACCTTGGTGTCTCCCAGCCCCAGGGCCCATCAGTGCCTGCCCTGGCTCTGCTTATTGACAGGGCTGGGGGCTGCCGGGCCGGCACCCCCCACCCACGGCCCTTCATTAGCTCAGCTGTCGGGCTGCATCACATCAGCTGCTGCCGCACACGCGCCCCCGGCTCTGGCACTGCTGCCGCCACGTGTGTCCCTGCTGTCCCCACTGCCACCTCACCTTGCGGCCACCCCGTGGGGCCAGAGCCCCTGACCCCCCAGCCCAGGCTGTGCCCCTGTCCTCCCCATGGTACTCAGGGCTCTGGCTGCCCCACATCCCGGCCCACTGATCACCCAAAGCTTGGGCCCCCACAGAACCCCCAACACCATTCCCAAGATTGGTGCATCCTGCTGCAGCAAAGTCCCGCTGTGGTGTGGGGAGACACATGCCCCCAGCACCCCAAGACACCCCGTGTGCCCTTGTGGCTGGATGTCACCCCCCAGGTCCCAGTGGCCATCCCAGTGTGGGGCAGGGTGCTGCCTCTGTCACATAGCATGAGAGGGGTCACATCCCTGACATGGGTGGGGCGGGGTGACAGCCCCTCCAGCTGCCCCATGGAGGAGACGCTCCTGTGGGTCCCAGCAGCTCTCCCAAAGCAAGGGGATGTGGGGCACAGCCCCTCTGTGCTGATGGGCCCGTCCTTGGGCAGGGTCGTGCACAGCCCCTAGGTGTCACAGGGCCCGCAGGCCAGGGCTGGCCCCTGGTATCGACAGCCTTGCTAATGATGGGGAGTGTGACCGGAGGCAGGAGCAGGCGGCGTGGGGCCATCGACCGCATTGACTGGCACCGCTCGGCTGCAAGGGCACGGGCGTCCGCGGAGGGGCAGGGGGACGTCAATGGGTGGTAATTAATGGGAACGAGGCCACGTGTGCAGGGCCGGGGCGCTCGCTGGCCGCATCCCCCCGTCGGGTGCAGCCCAGTGCAGTTATAAACAGCGGCCAGGCGACCCCCGAGCCAGAGCACTACGGAGCCCCCCAAGCCAGCCCAGGTAAGACGGTGATGGATGTGGGGTTCCCTTGGCCCCGGGTGGGCAGCGTGGCCTTCCATGGCATGCTGTGCCGTGTCAGTCCATGGCATGGCTTGCCCTGACATGCCATGCTGGGAGACTGTGCCTGCACTGTCCTGCTTTGGCTTCATCCCAGCTGCAGGACACCTCCTGCTCTGGCAGTGCATCCCGAGCAGCCCAGTGCCGGTGCACTTGCCCGGCAGGCTCCAGGCACTGCGGTGAGGCCAGGTGCTGCCTCCGCAGTGCCCCAGGGGTTATGCCTGAATACCACATCCCCCTAGCTCTCAGCCTTTCCTTCTCTCTTTCTCTTGCAGGCAGCTGAGCTGTGGTTCCTCCTGCCTCCATCTGCCCCTGCCTCTGTCTGATATGTTTGATATTAGGTTGTTTTATTAGAAAACCAACTAAATATCAAACATATTCTTACAGCGCCAGGGATGCTCAGCGCTGACTTGGCCAGATGCTACCTGTGCCCTGCCCTGCACCGGGGGGTCCCTCTGCACCTCATCCTGCAGCCCCTGCCAGCCCTTTCACTGCTGCAATAAAACCTGTCTGCCCATCTCCATGGCGCTTGAGAGGGGGAGGCCAGAGCTGTCCGGGGGACCGGCGGAGGTTTGGGATGGCAGCGGGGTCAGCATTTGCCACCTGTCCCCTTGCTCACACTGGGGATGATGACAATACAAAGGCCCGTGGCCCCGTGCCCACTGCTGGCTCTGCTGCCCCAGCACAGGGGGTTATTTATGGAGGTGCAGCCACTGCTCAGGGCCCTTGGTGGGTGGGCACTGTTCCCCCAGGGCCCTGCCCAGGGTGCTACGAGCTGTCACCAGGTCTCTGTCCCCCAGGTCCGTAGGTGCTGACTCCTTTAGCCCCCAAAATCTGTCATTGGGGCAGTGAGTCTCTTCCATGGGAGATCTTACACTGGCTTATGGGACCTTGGGGCCGCCACGAGGAGGCCATGAATCCCCTGGCTGTGGATGGATTGCTGTTGCGTGCCCTGAGAATTCCTCCCTGCGCCTCAGGAATCTGCTCCTCCAGCTGCCAACAGCATCCTCTGCCTCAACACCAAGCACCAGCATGGCTGGAGCTGGGCTCAGGGCTCAGCAGGCTCCTGGGGGGTTCTGCCCCTGGTGCCGGGCTCAGTTTGTCCCACTGCTCCCTGCAAAGCCAAACACCCTGGGCCAGGGCTGCTGCCAAACCCCTGCTCCCAAAATAGCACCAGGCTGAGCTCACCCTTTTCCATGCCACCCCCAGGCAGGGGTAAATGTCAGCCCAAGGCCACCAAAACACCCTAAGCCCCTGGTGGAGGGCAAACGCAGCAGGGTAAGACTTAGTGCTAGTGCTGCATGGACTCAGCTCAACATCCTGAAGGAGCGCTGGGTGGGAACACAGTGTCCTTGTGGCACCAGCCAGAGTGTCCTGTTGCATGGGGGGCAGGGGCTCAGCTGGGACAATACAGGACCCCCTACTCCGAGACCTGCCACTGCTTTTTATAACACTCCAGCTGTCCTCAGCAGCCCAAATAAGGCCGTGGCCACCCGGACCCCCTGGGGCGGACAATGGGTCCCGAGCACAGACTTTTTGGGAAGGTGGGGAGGCGGCTCAGCCCAAGAAAGGCAAAGCCCTCGGGCTGGGCAGAGCTGATAAACAGGCAGTGGGGCACAGGCAGCACAACTGCCCTGTCCACCCCTTGCCAGTCCCGCATTCAGCTACCCGCTGCTGCCCGTGTCCCAGTGAGGATGGAGGCCATCAAGAAGAAGATGCAGATGCTGAAGCTGGACAAGGAAAATGCCCTGGACCGGGCGGAGCAGGCGGAGGCTGAGCAAAAGCAGGCAGAGGAGCGGAGCAAGCAGGTAGGGCAGGCAGCAGCAGCCCCCAGCCCATGGGTGTTGGGAGGCGGCTTCTGTTTGTGTCAGCTCACCGTGAGCCCAAACCCAACACCCAACACAGACTCTGGCTGGGGTATGAGGGTGCCACAGCTGACACTGTCCTGCAGTTCAAGGGCACCCCGAGGGCTGCCTAGGGCTCAGCCCCTGCCAGTTGGTGGGGTGTGGGAAAAGGACAGACACTGTGGGGCAGTGCTGGTCCCAAGGATGGGGCAGGAGGGATGCTGTGGGCCAGAGCTGAGCCTGGGATGGGGCAGGCAGGGCTCTCTCACAGTGCAGGGGTCCAAAGTGGTGTCCACCTGTGGTAACATCACTGCCCTTCCAGCTGGAGGACGAGCTTGCTGCCATGCAGAAGAAGCTAAAGGGGACAGAGGATGAACTGGACAAATACTCTGAGGCCCTGAAAGATGCCCAGGAGAAGCTGGAGCTGGCAGAGAAGAAGGCAGCGGACGTACGTATGGGGTGCAAGGTGGAAGCTGAGGGCTGCCCTCCCCTCGTTGCCTTCCTGATGGGACTGCAGCCCTTCCCTATGCCTTGGGGACACGGAAGGTCCCTGTCTGGCTCAGTGCATTCCCAGCAAAGCTCTGTGGGTGTCTGGGAGCAGAGAATGACCCTGTGAAGGACATGTCCTGAGGACAGAGCCAGGCAGTGAGCAGCCCCTCAAGAGTGAGACACATATCCCCGGGAAACTCTGAATCACAATTGTGGGCAGAGGAGTCGAGCTCCTGAGCAGGAGGAGGAGGAGGAGGAGAAGGAGGAGGAGAAGGAGGAGGAAGACAGGTGGAAGCGCATAGGCAGTGTGAGGATTGCAGAGCCCAGCTATTGTCCACCACTGTTTACAGGAAAACAACGGCACCAGCCGTTCAGGGTTTCACCCACTGGCCGCTCTGCAGCCATCACGAGGCGTCTGGCCCTGCTCATCACTTGCCAGGACCTGGCAGCCAGGGGCCACTTCCCCATGGGGCTGGGATGTCTCAGGGTCCAGTGTTGGGGCAATGCAGCTTTTCCCTCCTGTGGGAGCCAGGAGAAATCCTGCAGCTCCTCTCCCTCGATGGGCAGAGGAGGCAGGAACTGTCCTCTGCTACTGTGCCCATAGGGAAGTGCCTGAGCCCCGGCACAGCACCTGGGCTGCTCTCATTGGCACATTCTGGCTCCGTGCTGGGGGTCAGGGTGTTATTGGGAGCTCTGGAGTCCTTCTGGAACTCTGGGACATTTGTCACCCTGCAGCTTTGCTTGCGGCTCCCTGTCCCAGCACGGTGGCAGTGCCATCCCTGCACTGGAGTCGGCACATGTTCAGTGAGGCATCGCAGAGCTCTGAGATCCCTTTCCCTCCCTCACACCCTTCCTGCTTCCCTCTGCTCCCTGTTGGCATTTTCCTGCTGTCACCACATCCCCACTTGCTTCTTTGTGGATCCCTCTCTGTGTATCTGGAGCCCCTTTTCCTGGCTGCTGCCACCTCAGGATGACCCTCGGGGCTGCCCCAGTTTCCCCCTGGTTCCAGGCAGTGGAGGGACTGGATGGGCAGAGCTGCCTCCCAGGTGCCTCCAGTTCCCACCTCATCCCCGGAAACGTGCCGTGCTGCACATGCCACACATGCCAGCCCAGGCAAATGTGGCCCTGCAGCATCCACCTGCCCAGCTGCTGAGGACGTCGGAAGGC